GGTTTAAGTTAGTATTAAAATGTTTGAAAGCGGTTATTTTTATTTTTACGAATAAACGAATGTTTTGTTTGAGTGCATTTTGATATCTATAATATTGAATTTTCCTCTATGTTACTTTTTTTTTATTGTAAAATATCTTCTCCGTCAAACGGTAAAAGCCCACTCCTGAACGTTGGCCTCTCCCGTTGTAAGAGTAAATATTTACCTTAAATCATCGCGCTTGGCCAGCGTTTTGACGATCGCAGCATCAGAAGCCTTTCAACTTTGATGCTGTTCCCATCGCTAGTCTGGGTATTTCACGGCTGCCAAAAATGTAATGTTTATTATTCCTCCATTTATCTGAATCTATATAATCTTTCTGGCATTTTTCGTAGTCATCTGTGGCCATAGAAGGAAACGGATAGATCTCACGTCGGGAACAGTGTTCTGTCCGGGGAGCGGCCACCGCTCCGTGTGATATTTATATACTGTTATACTTCGGAACATTGATATCGCAATTAGGACTTGAATGTGTTTGCTTGTGACGCGACGACAGAGCCGCCACACGTCTTTAGGAAATCCAAGAGACAATGAAGCGAGAGAAAGGCAGTGGTGTATTCTCTGATGCCGTCACAACAAGGTGCATTTAAACAATTAAAGTAGTATACTAAAAAATATGTGTATTGAAATTTAAAATGCTTACGTCATTTCTTATACAACCTTAAAACAAAAAAATGGTAATATCTTTCAATAGCGCTTTTTTAATACATAACTTCATGGTTATTACTTTGAAGTGCCATTGAATAGCCAGATAAAAAATTGTGGGAACTTGATGTTGTTATTTAGTGAGAAAATCAAGTAAAATGTGACCAAGTTATCGGAAATATCAGAATCAGTCTGGGCTTAGTTGTGTTACCTGCATATGTGTTTTCAGAGTTATCAAAGCAGCCAGTTTTTAGCATTATCGTTGGAATTACAACGAGGAAATATATAACAGTTCAATATATTTTTGAGCTTGAATGTCATCATAATCATCATTACAGCCCTTCACAAGTCCACAGCTGGACATAGGCCTCCCCCAAGAAGTGTCACTAAGCACGGTCCTGAGCCATCTGCATCCATCGACTTCCTGCATGTATAACCAGGTCGTCACTCCATCTAGGGGAGGGTCACCCTACACTACGCTTACCGATACGATGCTGCCACTCGAGAATCTTCTTTCCCTATCGGTTGTCGGTACTTCGAGCTATATGGCCAGTGCATTGCCGGTTCAGCTTATTAATCCATTGGCCTGTATCGGTCATTCTGGTTCTACGGCTGATATCCTCATTTCTAAGTTTGCGACGCAGAGGAACACCGAGCATAGCCCTTTCCATATCTCCCTGAGCGACCTTGAACGTCCTTCATACGGCCAACAGTGATGGACTACGTCATGTAAGTCATCACTAGCAACACGCACTAGTTGTACATTCTAGTTTTCAGGTTTCGAGGTAAGCCTGACGAGAAGATGTGTCATAATTTCCCGAACGCTGTATAGTCGAGTGGGACCCATCGATTGACCTCTCAGTCGAAATTGGATTTACCTAGTCGGACTATTTGCCTCAGGTAGTGTTTATATGCTTAGATTTGATAGATTGGATAGAAAATTTCATATTGATTCTATAATGCCAAACTTCTTAGTAGAAAAGTAGTATTTAAACATAAGTATTTATGGGTTTAAAGTCCGGGGGGGGGGGGGGGGATCAAATTTGACCTCTTGAATTTTGACGGACGAACTAAGTCCAAAATTATATGAAACGCAGGCCTGGTTTTGTACAAGTAGGGAAATAAATTGAAATAATATACTATACCACTTTTGGTCATTCAAATCCACGAATTTGGCTCTATTTCAGTGGTATTAATATTTTATTCTTACCAAAACTGCAACACTAATGGCGAATTGATGTCGTTTTAACGTTAGCTGTCAACTGTCATGAGGTTATTGATCAATTTATTGACAGATATTTGAATTCTGAATGCTGTTATTCTTATCACAGATAAGAATAACAGCATTTATTTATTTATTTTAGCCATTTTGATTCCTTATAAAATAAAATAAAAAATAATCATTTCTTAAATTTACGCGAACACAACACATTGAATAAAACTACATATTTAGCTCTTATCGCGTTTAATTAACTTATTTTTAATTCCCGACGTTTCGCGTGCTTTACAGCACCCATGGCCACGGGGGTACTGAGATGTTTGATGTCGCGCGGCCGACCGCGGGCACGCTGGTGCGATGATATTGTAGAGGTGGCAGGAGCAACGTGGACGAGGCTAGCGGCAGACAGAACTTCATGGAAAAGGATGGAGGAGGCCTTCACCCGCAAATATTATGTGTAAAGCCAAATTCAGTAGATTATTATTAACTTCAATTTTATTATTTTAACCATATATTTTGTGACAAAAATCAAAACAAGTTGACAATTACTTGAAAATATAAATATAAATTGATTATTTACCATAACATTATTTATAAATAATAAAAAATTAATTTTGTAAATTTAATTTAAACTTTTTATTTAAAATTGACACTGGCATTATCATGTCTTTTAATTAAAAAAATTGCATGACTCATAATAATATTGTATTTGGTTTTAACTAATATCGACTGTTGTATGAAAATTGGGAATTAAATGGCTATTATTATTATTATTGTGGGATATCAACATAGTTTTCTCATCTGGTTGGGTTCTATAAATATATATTTATAAATGAAAAGATAAATATACATAAATATCAATAACATAAACTAAATATAAAAGTAAATAAGTAAATAAAAGCCCAACCAGATGGAGGCCCTCGGCAGGGGAGACCAAACGGCCGAGGGTTAGCGGGAAAGGGAAAGAAACCGGCGGACGATGCGGGCGGTATCGAGGAGCACCGCCTTCTGCATTTGAGCCTGGAGCGGTCCGCCACGTAGTCCCAGCTGCCTCAGATGACCCGAGAGCCTGACTGGGATTAGCCCGTTCGCAGAGACGACTACAGGAATAATTTCGGTCGGCAGACCATGTCGGTCATCTCGTGAGCCAGGTCCAGATAATTTTGTTTGCTTATCTGTTTCGGCTTTCACTAGGTTCTCGTCATACGGAATGGTAATGTCGACAAAAAATATCCTTGACTCTGCCCGGTCCATCAGCACAATATCAGGCCTATTCGCAAGAATAGTCCTGTCTGTGATAATGGCCCGGTCGCAATAGAGCCTGGCGCGATCTATTTCGAGCACGGCTTCCGGCAAGTACTTGTAATACGGCAATTTCCGATCCACAAGACCGTATTTCAGAGCGAGCTCCTGGTGAAAAATTCTGGTTACTAGGTTATGCCTGTGTAAGTACTCAGAGTTAGAAAGCGCCGAACAACCGGAGATGACATGCCTAAGTGACTCACCGAGATGGCGACAAGCTCGACAGATGTCGACGTTGCCATCCTTTAGGATGTATCTCCGATAGTTGTTGGTCTTAATAACCTGATCCTGTATTGCACAGACAAAAACCTCGGTTTCCCCGAAGAGATCACCAAAGCGTAGCCAGTTGAGGGAGGCTACTGTGTCTACGAAAGGCTCATGTAGAGCCTTGTAGAACATCCCGTGGAGCTCCTTCTCCTTCCATACGGTCTCCCGGTCGGAAATGCTCTGCACTGTTGGGTCTTGCCATTGCTCGTTGGCTAAGGATAGAGGGGTAAGTCCTTTATCACAAGAAATGACGTCCTTATAGAATGGATCATCCGATCTCGTCAGAAAGTAATCACGGAGGCTGCACACTTCGCGATTATGCATGGTGAGCGCGCTCAAGAAGCCACGACCACCATGCTTCCGCGGCAAGTACAGCCTCATTACCGACGATCTCGTATGATGCATCCTATGGGACGTCATGGTAGTGCGGACTTTTCTATCCAGGGCGTTAAGTTCAGTCTGAGTCCACCTGAGTATGCCAAAGCTATACATGAGGACAGGCATGACCCAGCCGTTATATGCGTGTGCCTTATTCACACCGGACAAAAGGCTGTTAAGCACTTTGGTTAAGCGTGCATAAAACACGTCGCAAACTGACTGTTTCATACCAGTCTCATCGATACCGATGTTTTGTGACATACCCAGGTACATCGATATGTTTCAGCCTCGGAAAGGGTTCTTAAGTTGACGGGCATATATAAGTCTATGCCCTCAGAGTTAGCAACCCTTCCCCTTTCAACATGGAGGCACACTTATCCGTCCCCATCTCCATTCCAAAGGAATTGCTAAATTCACAAGTGATGTTTAGCAATTCCATAAGATGGGAGCGACTGGAGGCGAATAACTTGAGGTCATCCATATAGAAAAGGTGGGTCACTTTTGTCCCTCCTTTCCGTAGCTGAAATCCCCTCCCGGAGCCCTCCAGTAAGGGTACTGAGAGGGTTCAGAGAGAGGCAGAACCAGATTGGACTCAGACAATCGCCCTGGAAGATACTCCTTCTTATCCTAATGTGGTTCTCCGCAGCCATCCTCCGCTCACCCAGATGACAAAGGATCGTAGTCCACTGCCCCATACACTGCTCGAGGAAGTCTCTAACTGTACAGTCTATCTTTTACAGCTCGAGGACTCTCTTTAGCCATGTATGGGGCACCGAGTCGAATGCCTTTCTGTAGTCTATCCAGGCGGCAGAGAAGTTCCGACGGTTGCGTTTCACCACTTTGCCAATGACCGCGTCAATGAGGAGTGGTTTCTTGGTTCCACGAACATCGCCCCGACATCCATTTTGAGCGCGCGACATCACCTGATTTGAGTCCAGGTGACGAGTGATTCTCGCGCTTAAAATGGATGTTAGTGTCTTGTATATGGTCGGTAGACACGTGATGGGGCGGTATTTGCTCGGGTCTGTGGTACCCTGGACTTTAGGAACCAAATGAGTGATGCCAGTAGTGAAGAGTCTTGGGAGCGACTTCTGGTTGAGAGCCTCTTGAAACTGTCAGGCGAGCACAGAGTGACACACCATGAACCCCTTCAGCCAGTAGTGATGCAGCCCGTCAAGCCCGGACTTTTCCAGTTCGGGGCCCTACGGACCGCCTCAGCTACGTCATCCGGTGTTATGATGACGGGGTCCATGGGCGTAATACCCGCACACTGACTCGCCACAACTTCCGTCCAAGGGCCCTCGCTGTGGTTTACGGGCTCTGACCACAGGCCGCGCCAGAATGCTACAGTGTCGGCCTGATTCGGTGCTGGGCCCGTTCCACTTACTATTGGTCGCTCCAATGATGCATAGAGCCTCTTCTGATCACTCTGGAAGGGACGATTCTGGTTGAACCGTATCGACCTCTCGTATATCGCCAAATCCGCTTTCCACAAGCAGCGATTCTTTGCTTCAGATCATCTATGCACTCCGTCAGTTTTTGCGTTATATCCGGCTGGGAGAAACTGACATTTGTCCCAGCAAACGCCATCCTGACGGTGCGCACAATTCTTGGCCTGTTATTGCCTGATCTAAAGCATATCAGTCTGCCGATGAGAGCTCGTTGCGTTGCGATACGTTCCTCAATTCTTCTTCTCTATGCTGGGATAGCGCTACTATGGCCAGTAAAGCGTCCAGCCGTGGAAATCTTGGCGCCTATGATACGGCAGACTGCCAGCGCGGCGCGAAAAATAATTGAGTCCGTCTCGCAAAGGTCCCGGCTGGCTTCCAAATAGGTCACCAGCATTGCGTTCAGAGCCCTTACGACAGCCCGATTCCGCTTGCTTAGGGCTATGCGAGGAAGTCGCGGTCGATTTTCGAGAGGCGTACTGCACGTTTCCACAATCGCCTCTTCCAATGTACTCCTCATATGCTCTAATTCCAGTTCCTGGGCGACTGTTACATCATCGTTTGAATCAACCACAACTGGGGTATTCACGGCGGCATCCAAATTTTACGGGTTGCTCTATCATTTGTGGCGCTGCATCCTCAGCCGTAGCATTTTCATCCGATGAGGGAACAGCCTCACGTCGTAGCCGTTCGAGTTCGGCGACATCAAATATATTTGAGCGCAAGATATACCGAACTCGGTCTGCCAGGTTTTGCTCTGTGACGGTTAAAGATGGCTCCAGCTCAGCAAAAAGACGATGCATCCTAGCCCGGTACGCCAAACATCCAGTTTCTTCCCCTTTCGCCCTAAAGTACGCCCGCAGTGCGTTTGTATTCATTGCTTGTGACCAACGCATGCGACGTGCTCCACCAGCGTCAGGTGCCGCTTGCTGAGTCCGAGAAGACCCAGCTGACACCAAGCCTTCTGGTGGGGATGATAGATGCGGAGGGCTGCTAGGTGACCGTGCAGCTCCTCGAGCTCGGCTGGCGGCCCGCATGCTGCCGCGTCCAGCGCCAGCTCCAGACGCGCCCCGACGACCCACAGCGGCTTTGCGCACTATCTTCTTATCCATCATCCATTATTTGGGCGTCCATTAACGGGAGACGCCCAGGCCCGGCACCGTATCGTGTGTGGCCATAAGCACAAACGGGCCTTTGCACCCTAAATTCTGCCGAGGCACGGCGCTAACACCTCTCGCAAGGCATTGACTGACTGACTGCGTTGACGTAGCAGTTTTGTCAATTAACTATTACGTCAGCGGGCAATGGGGTCGTCAATTCCCTACGCCATATTATTATTATTATTATTGGGGTATCTATATAATTTTCTCACCTGGTTGGGTTCTATAAATATATAATTATAAATTAAAATTAAAAGATAAATGTACATAAATATCAATAAAATAAAATAAATACAAAAACTACATAAATAAATAAGATCCAACCAGATGGGAGCCCTCGGCAGGCGAGACCAAACGGCCGAGGGTTAGGGGGAAAGGGAAAAAAAAATCGGCGGACGATGCGGGCGGTATCGAGGAGCACCGCCTTCTGCATTTGAGCCCGGAGCGGTCCGTCACGGAGTCCCAGTCGCCTCAGATGACCCGAGAGGCTGACTGGGATTAGCCCATTCGCAGAGACGACTACAGGAATAATTTCGGTCGACACAGCACCCCACATGTCGGTCACCTCGTGAGCAAGGGCCAGATATTTTGTATGTTTATCTGTTTCGGCTTTCACGAGGTTCTCGTCATACGGAATGGTAATGTCGATCAAAAATATCCTTGACTGTGCCCGGTCCATCAGCACAATATCAGGCTTATTCGCAAGAATAGTCCTGTCTGTGATGACGGCCTGGTCCCAGTAGAGCCTGGCGCGGTCATTTTCGAGCACCGCTTTCGGCAAGTACTTGTAATACGGCAATTTCCGGTCCACGAGACCGTATTTCAGAGCGAGCTCCTGGTGTAGAATTCTGGCTACTAGGTTGTGCCTGTGCAAGTACTCAGAGCTAGAAAGCGCCGAACAACCGGAGATGACATGCCTAAGTGACTCCTCGGGATGGCGACAAGCTCGACAGACGTCGACAGTGCCATTCTTTAGGATGTATCTCCGATAGTTGTTGGTCTTAATAACCTGATCCTATATTGCACAGACAAAACCCTCGGTTTCCCCGAAGAGGTCACCGAAACGTAGCCAGTTGAGGGAGGCGGCTGTATCTAAGTGGGGCTCATGTAGAGCCCTGTAGTACCTTCCATGGAGCCCCTTCTCCTTCCATACGGTCTCCCGGTCGGAAATGCTCTGTACTGCCGGGTCTTGCCATTGTTTGTTGGCTAAGGATAGAGGGGTAAGTCCTTTATCACTAGAAATGACGTCATTATAGAATGGATCATCCGATCTCGCCAGGAAGTAATGACGGAAGCTGCACACTTCGCGATTATGCATGGTGAGCGCGCTCAGGAAGCCACGCCTTACCATGCTTTCTTTTTTATTATTATTAAAAAAATATATATATATATATATATATATATATATATATAAAATGCACTTACTTCATACTCATTTATTTACACTAAAACAAAATAATATCTTAGTTTGGCTGTTTTAATAAATAATACTTGATGTTTGAGAAAATGTGTAGTGTATCAAGTCGCACTAGAGAGCATACTCCGTGGCAATCCGGAAAACCTCGACGTTGGCCTTAATATCTTGTTTACGTAAAAAGCAGGCAGTAGCGTAAATTTGACGATGTAAATCATCATATTAAATACCTGGGCGACCGAGCTCTGCTTGGTGTTAATTTTATTTTCAGAGAATACACTTACCTTGATAAACTTAAAAAGCAAAACATTATCTAAATAAAATTTTCTCCTAATCGGCGAAGCTGCATCTACAATATGTTATTTATTTTCTACTGTATATAAAACAATTTGATTTTGTATAATACAGTAAAATAAGCTTTGACTTACTTTAACTGTATTATACTTACTTTTTTACTTAAGAGGCACGCAAGCAAAACATTTTATTACTATATAATAATGAATTATTGCCCAAATAGTAGACCGTATGAGCTAGAATTCTAAAGAACAAAAAAAGGATTACAAAAACACCGAATAACTACGTTACTAGCGTACGTATTAGTAATACCTCAATGTACAAAAGTCAAATTTTTGGTCAGAATAACCTAAGGAAGGCATGGATCACATTTTAGAAACTAACATTGTTTATGTTATTTTTCTTTGAAAGATCTAGCTAGGGAACTATTTTATTTTAAACGCAAAATTTGAATATTTTATCGTAATATGTAGTTCTCAAAACGAATATTAAATTAATCTAGACATGTAAATAAAATTGAAGTATCCGTTGAGAACAATTATTTGTATGAATGTTTGTCCTTGTGTTACGCTATGCTTGAGATGATACAAAAAATCTTCACATTTTAATAACTCGCATAAAGTGTTCTAAAATTTTTACATTGAAACTGTAGATAAAATCATAGTTTTAGCGCAGAATTCATTTTGTTTCATTGATTTTCGATTTATTTATTGCTAACATTTATCAGCATAATATATATTTTATGTTATGTTAATAAAGGTTTGTCAAAAGTACAGAAATATGACAAAATGTATTCAAAAATCCCTTCAGTGTATGTTTTAAATTTTATACCATTCATCATCATCACCATTACCGTTATTAAAACCCTTCACGAGTGTACTGAACAGGAAATGCAACAAAGAACCGTCCTGAGCCAGCTGCATACATCGACTTCGAAGCCATACACTTACGATGACGACCACCGGTACGAGGCTGCCACTTCAGAACCTTTCTTCCACATCAATTCTTCGAGCTATACGGCCATCCCATTGCAAATATTTTAAGATTAAATATAATGATATTAAGCTTGTTTTAAATTCGTGTGCGAGAAGCGTAAAGATCAACTATCAACATGTATTATTTTAATTATTGACTGAAACAATTATATGTTCACGTGTCGGTACTCCGAATTTAAATTCGTAAATAATATTATAGGGATAAAACTTTTTCTTCGTGTATCTACGAAACGATAGGTCTGAACCAAAACGGACAAATAAAATGGATAAAGTTCATATACTTTAAACTTGGTAGAGCTACGCTACATGCAACTGTACAATATTAATAAATTGTTGTAGTACGAATGGGTTGGCTCGGTCGGGGGAGAACAACGCTTTCAAAAATAGCAGTGTAATATAGCGGCTTAATGCTGCTGTCTTTCTTATGGTAAGTTTAGAGAACCGGAGACCCGTTTTACTGTAAAAGAGGCATGCTATTTAAAGCGGGCTACATACGACACGATATCGGTGGCGATCTAGGGTGGAGTAGTGGGGATGCCTCCTAGATTGCCTCTAAATCGTGTCGTATGTAGGGCCATCCTAAGTCGTGGCCGATATCGCCTCCTTAATCGGCTGGCAGGAGCAAAAATGCTTCCTAGATCAGCCGATGCTTCCTAGATCGGGGCACCGCCCCCTCCTTACTGCGTGTGCGTAGGCGCATCGGCCCGATTTCTTTTGGCAGTCGCTGCCGGCAATCCTCGCGGAAGGAAGTTAACAAAACAGTGATACTGAATGACCTTTTTTATGTAACAAAATTTTTACATTTTAATCATATAAACGGAGTAGAAGCCTATGGCACTGATATTTTACAAAAAACCAAAAAAAAAGTGAATAAAATAAATAAATTAATTGAAATTTTATCGAAATTCAAATCATATCCACCCTAGCCTGCCGATGACATGGTCAAGAATGCCTACTGAACTAATTTTTTTGTTGCCGTTCGTAAAGTAGAGTGTATGATGTAAGTAAGGAGAAGATAAAGCCTCTCCTCAACAACTAACTCCTATTCCAACGCTATCAACACAAGACCGCACTCATATCTCTTACAACTCCACAAGACCACACTTCGATCTCTTACGTGCCTTCATCCTCTTATCAACAACTAACTTCTACTCCTTCACCATCTCCACATCAACAAACAAGTTATATAAAAGGGAGTTTTATTAAAGAAATTAAAGGTTTCTTTATGTTTAAAAAAAGATATAAGCTATTTTATTTTCTGATAGTTTTACTCCATAAATAAAGATTACATTAAAAAAAAAGTATACATATTATTATACAAAAGTATTTTATTTCCTTGTTTGTTGTGTGTAATACATATACAGATTTTGAACAAAGCAGAAATGAACAAAGAGAAGAAATAACTAAATAGCATAGGTAGGAGAAATTGACGTTTTTATATAAGTGGCGAAATCATTTCTAGAAGGTTATAAAAACTGTCTTCATCCATCCGGAGAAAATTAATCACGTCCTTGGATTACAGGCCATTTAGTACGTTTATGTGGCTTAATTTTTATATCTTTTGAAGCCATTTTTTCACCCAGCAACTTCTCTTTTTCTATTTTCGAATAAATTAACCGAGATGGCTAATGCCAAACCAACACGGTGGTGTTTTAAGAGAGTCGGAGGTATTTTGAAAAACTCTACCGCATATGCATTCCGCTCCAAGTCCGAACGCGTACTGCTAGGCAGGCCCGTGTGTAGGTCTACCCCGATAAAAGCCCCGATTTCTTTCCACCCTAGATCGCCACCGATATCGTGTCGTATGTAGCCCGCTTAAGTCTTCACGGCTGACAACGCGTCTGCATTTTGATTCGCAAACGAGTATGGGCCATAGCAACCACTTACCATCAGATGGGCTGTGTGCTCGCTTGTCATCCTTATCCTATAAAAAAACACTGGTTCTCACAAGTAATGATAAAAATATAATAAAAAATTTCAACTATTCAAATCCAGTGCTTGAATAGTAACCCTTATGGTAAGCGGTGTGATGCAGCCGAAGAAAGTAATGCGCTTAGCTAAACTTAATCATATTCAAACTCCATTTGAAGACATGAGGCAAACCTTTTGGTACTAATGCGTGGTACGTCGACAAAGAATAATGAAGACATTCCGAGCGTCTGGTTGTCGGAAATGGCACTAAAGATTTCGATTAAAGTTTGTAAGTTGAAAAAGTTTTACTTTTCCAGTTTTTCTTGATAGGCGTAATC